GTGAATTTGTTTACAGAAGAAGATTCTCAGCTCTTGTATTCTCTGGCTATAATTTATTGTGTTTTGAAGGTATATTTCCCATCAATTTTGCTTCAATATGTGATTTAACTTTGAGTGTTGGGTTGTTTGTTCAGGCTGACAAGAGTTATGTCCCAAATATGATCAGTGGAGCAGCTCAAGCAGATATTGGTGTTCTCGTGAGTTAGGCGCCACTTCACTGCATTTGTTTTGCACAAGTCCCATTTTTTGAATTTTTAATTCTTTCTCTTTCTCTGTCTTGTTCTCTATCTGACTGTCATAATTAGGTTATTTCTGCCCATAAAGGGGAATTCAAAACTGGATATGAGAGGGATGGGCAAACCCGTGAACATGTTGAGCTGGCACAAACTTTGGGTGTTTCTACGCTGTTCGTGGTTGTGAACAAAATGGAGGATCCCACTGTTAACTCGTCAAAAGAAAGGTGCTCTTCCTGAATTTAGTTAAGCTTATGATTATATATGCTGTTTTTTTTCTGTGTTCTTGTTCTGATGGTTCATTCTTCATGGCATTCTCCCTCAGATATGATGAAATTGAATCGAAGATGGTACCATTTCTGAGGTCTTTGGGCTACAATGTGAAAAAGTTAATTGCTATATTGCATCTTGAATTTTTTTTTCCTTTTTTTGTTTTAGAAAAATGGTGATTGATTGAATTAAAATTGTGAGTTATTTGTATTTTTTCAATAAAAGCAAGGCAATTAATTCTGTATATTGATTGTGTTGTTCATCTTATTCTGAACCTGTAGATGTCCAGTTCTTACCAATATCTGGTCTTCTTGGTTCCAACATGAAACGAGACTGGACAAGAGCATATGCCCCTCGTGGAATGGCCCCTGCCTCTTCAAAGTTCTTGATGCAGTTGAAATTCTTCCTCGAGATCCAAAAGGTCCTTTTAGGTATGATTTATTACTGTTGGAATTCGTACAACTCCAGGAAGAAAGTATAATTGTATAACTATACCCTTTCTCCCTTTATTATAGAAAAGGCTACATAGTTACTTATAAGGACTCTGACTATTTCTTGAGTCCCCATGACTTTGATTCCAAACATAAGATAAGTAAATAACTGGCTGGGATTCCTAGAAAATAAAACCTAAAAAATCTAACACCTAAAGATCCTGGAATCACCAAAATGTACCCAAATTATATTTTAAAGAGAAAACTGAAATCATGGAACTGAAATTATATTAAGTCTGCCCCTGAACATAGAAAAACTTAAGTATAACAAAATAGAACCCTAAATTGCTAAAATTAAAGTTACACAATGTAGATTCTGAATTATCAAGGCTGTATCAATGTTTCGTTTCACATCTATTAACTATATGTTTTCTAAATATGCAGGATGCCTATAATTGACAAATTTAAAGACATGGGAACTGTCGTAATGGGAAAGGTTGAATCTGGTGTCATGCGTGAGGTGAGGGTGATTCCTTATTGGTCATGCCAAACAAGGTGCTTAGTCTTTCCCTTAATTTCTTTATTTGTTTATTTATTGTTAAACCTGAATTCTGAAGTCCAAGATGCATGGATGGCAGGCTCAAGTGAAAGTTCTTGCCATTTACTGTGATGAAGATAAGGCTACACGTGCTGGACCTTGTGAAAATCTGCGAGTTAAGTTATCTGGAATTGAACAAGAGAACATATTATCTGGTTTTGTCTTGTGTAGTGTTGGGAAGTGCTCTTAAAGATTGTAAAAACTGAAGGCTCTCATGTTTGATCCCCTAAAGAGGAAATTAGATCATAAAAAGTGGAGTCAAAATGTAAATGGTAGGATAATTCACAAATTTGTTTGCTGAAATATTTCCATTCTTTTGTAGTTTTTGACAGCAATGCTGGGACTATCCTAACAAGTAAAATGTCTTGGCCTCACCATCCCTCTCTATACTTATTTTCTAATTTTGATCGTGAAGTTTTTGTTATTTGTGATTTTGTTTAAGTTTTGCTGAATTGTATCTTTTTTTTTCCCTTTTTTACTCAGCAAAACCAATACGAACAGTCACTGAATTTACTGCCCAGCTGCAGATCCTTGAGTTGCTTGACAACGTATGAATGAATCCAATTTATGACGTCTTCTCTCATGTGTAATCTGTTAGTTCATTTGATTAACCTTGCATCTAATGGTATTGGACTGTCTCTGCTATATTAGGCAATATTCACGGCTGGGTATAAAGCTGTCTTGCACATTCATTCTGTTGTTGAGGAATGCGAGATTGTTGAGCTGCTACAACAAATTGATCCCAAGACAAAGAAACCCATGAAATAGAAAGTTCTATTTGTTAAGAATGGTGTTGTTGTTATTTGCCGCATTCCGGTTTACTTCTTGCCTTTTCACTCTTTTGGAAATTCCGAAGTGTATTCTCCGAAGTTTGGAATTATCTAGAATTATGAATGTTTTCCATTCAACATGGTACCATCCTCCTGCTTGATAATTGTGGGACTGCTATAATTTCTATGTATATGAAAGCTGTAGCATTGCTCTGTTATGTATGCACCTTCCAAGCTTTCAAATGTCTGAAGTGGTCAGAATCTTCAACCAATATTACATTTTGTCAAATGGTT